ACTCATCTCCGTTTCTGTCCTCAGCTGTCGTGTTTGGCGATCCACATTTCATAACGTTTGATGGCATCCGCTACTCTTTCAATGGCAAAGGCGAATACAATTTGTTGATCGCTCCCGGGAAGCATCTGACAATCCAAGGCAGAACCGAGCAGGTCAACGGTGAGCTAAATACGTAGATGATTGTGTTGTAGGTGCACTTCCACACCGTTTGAGAACATTGTTTTTCGCCTCACAGGAAGTGCAACCAAGCTGTCGTCGGTGGTCATGAAAGAGGCCTACTCAGACATCATTGAGGTGCGTCTGTTCACCGGTGATGACAACCTGCAAGTGCTACAAAATCAAAAGCAACTTCTGTTCAATGAGCAAACCTGGATGGACCTGAGCGGTGAGGAGAAACTGACCAAAAATACAGTAGGTTTGCTAAAAAAAAAAAAAAAAAGAAAAAAAGAAAGAAAAAAAATCATGTTTGTTACTCAAATTCTGCACAAAGCATGCCAAAATGATGCCATGAAAACAGTGGACACCGCATACTTGTGTTTCAGTATGTGTGGATTTACATTTCCCAATTTTAAGATCCATCCATCCATCCATTTTGTAATCCGTTTATCCTCACGAGGGTCGCGGGCGTTCTAGAGCCTTTTATATATAAATATACAGTATCCACATATATTAAAAAACTATAATCTGAAAAAAAACATCTTTTTGGAGAGTTAATTTGCAAATACTAAATTGTGTCTTGAATGTGTCATGTTAGGTGTGTTTGTGTTTTCACCTTCCGGCACAAACGTGACGGTGATGTTCCCCAGCGGCGCAGGCGTGGAGGTGCGTCTCCGCGGCAATGCCATTACAGCAACGGTGCTCCTCCCAGAAGAATTCTACAACTCCACGCAGGGCTTGTTGGGCAACATGAATGGCGTGCCTGGCGACGACCTGCTTGCCGCCCACGGCACAGTGGCGGTCAATGGCAGTAACGCCGAGGAGGTTTTCGGCTTTGGGGCCAGCTGTGAGCATTTTACAAATGCAATAATTAAATTATAAATATTTTTCAAAAATTTGTGATAATTTTTTACTTAAATAAGCCGTTGTACACATTACTTTAATATAATTTTGGAAATATTTTCTTTTTTTTTCTAGGGGCTGTTTCCAACACATCCGCTTTGTTCACGTACGATTCAAAATACCTTTTGGACACGTTTTACAATTCTTCAAGACACGACCCCGATTTTATTCCAGAGTTTTCAGTGCCGGAGATCCCTGATGACCCGTTCTATAATATCACTTCAGACATTTGCTCTGGAGATGACTCTCATTTCTGCAGGTAGGAAATGCAAAACACGACATAACGAGACAATGGGTCAGTTGAAGCAGGTCAGTAAAAATAAACAACAAAATACATGTCAGCATGGTCTCACGACCATACAGCAAGTACACTGTGTGATCTCATTGGTATTGGTTGACTATGCCTGGATTTCGTTTTTGTTTTCAAACAAACAGGAATTAGCATCAGTGTATTGGTAATCATAAACCTTCAAACTGCTACTTTAACGCACACAGAGCAACACATACAAATAGGGCCGGCTATATATTACACTGAAGTTTTTGTTGTTGTTTTTAACTGAACATGTTGATTTTTGCAGGTATGATATTTTGGTAGGTCGTAGTCTAGAGCTGGGAAAGGCCACCAAAGTCTCGTTCCGCAGTCACGTGTCTCTTGTGGAGGACTTGAAGCCTGGTGAGTGTTGACTCATTTAAAAATGTTTTGACTTAACTAAAGAAAAGTCAAGTAATCATGAAAATCACTTCCTATACACACATCAAATAACTACGATGTAGCATACACATTCATTGTATCAAATACAATAACCAGAAGGCTAAATCACATGCTAAGCTGAGGTCGCTAGTTTGGCCTGGATAATGTGGTTATTAGCATTGGAAAAAATATAGCATTTATACTGTAGATACATTTTGGAAAGTAGTTTGAGTTATTTTTAGCAATTTCAGCTTCATTTTTTTTTTTAGCATGTGAAGTTAATTGCTAAGGTAATGGCTATGCTAATTTGTAACTCACCTCTCTCCTTTTACTCCATGTATGTTATTGTTTGACATGTTCTGTAAACTGTTTAGCTGAATTATTAAAACGTTTGATGAGTAAAAGATTAGCATTTAAAAATGTAAAGATAATTGTTAAGATAATAACGCTGCTAAAAATGTAATTAACCTCTATCATTTTACTTTGTATTTTTCATATTATTGTTTGGCACAAAATGCATAAAAAAAAAAAAAGAATAAAGTAAATTCATATAAAAAAAATAAAGTATTTCAAAATCTTTAGAATTGCGAGCTAGCATTAGCCAGTAAGCATTTTAGCATGTGAAGATAATTGCTAAGCTATTCCGGGCTAATTTGCCATCAGAAACATTGTAGGTTAGCCTTAGCATGTCACAATCTAATCCAACAATAAAAAAAAGAAAAAAAAATTTAAAAAGTAAGAATCTGTTTTTGTTAGTTCTTTTAGTTTTATTTCTACATGTATTATGGACTCCCTGTTCGTGTGTAGTGATTTCCTGTGGTTGGCTGGCACCGCCAATCGACGGCAAGAAGGAGGGCACCACCTACCTACAGGGGGCCACGGTACGCCTGCTTTGTGACGACGGCTTCGTGCTGCAAGGATCGGCTGAGCGCACCTGCCGAGCAGACGGCACCTGGTCAGGAGGCGACACATTCTGTGTCGTTCACAGTTCCGGTACGTCAACTTTGAGTATGAATTTTAGACCACAGCTAATACTACTACTACTACTACCAGGATCAGCACTAGTACTACTACTACTTTTTGCACCATTATTATGTATTATGTATTACTAGTTCCTACTCCTCTCATGACGACCACGACTGAACTGCTTTTCACATTTTGCTTCTTTGTTTTGTTTGGTTTTATTTTTGCCAGATGACAACACGGCCATTATCGCTGGCTCCGTGGTCGGCGCTCTATTGGCGATTGCGCTAATAACAATAGGCCTCGTGTTCTGGGCCAAAAAACGTGACAGGTCAAGTAGTATCATTCAGATGTCATGATATCGTCTTGTTTCCAATCAGATGAAATGATGCAATGATCGATTTGCTGTTTTCATGTGTTTGCAGGTTGAGGAGATCTTCAGCAAGATTAAGTGTAAATCTTTAACAGAGTCCAGTTCACACTGGAGTCGACCCATCTATATGGAAACCCAGGCAGTAATACACTCTTTGTCTTCACTAGTATGACAATTCAGGGTACTAGTACAACAAATGTATCAGATTAATAACATTTTTCACAACAGTGCTGCATTGAGTGAGCTGAATATTGTATGAATGCTTAAACAGCTTTCCAAACACAAACAAGCATGAACGGTGTAAATTGACCGGACTGGTGACGAAGTGCTGCCTCCACGAGTGAAAATAGAATGTTCCATTGTATTTTGTCGATGTTGCACAATGACTTCCAACTGTGAGAATAAAGCTAACTCTGCCTTGAAGTAGATCCTCAGCAAATGGTCATTGGTGACTCTTTCTTTTCTTCAGTGCAGTTTTAATTTCGGGCATTGAGCTTTGAACACTATTGCCTGGTGAGTATTGGAATACATTTTTTGGAGGGGGGGGTATTGTACAAGCACTAACTGTGCAGGTCAAAATTTTATGAGAGTCTATCGCCGTGTTTGTGTGCCCTGACCTGGAAGTTATAGCATCATCAATTTGACCTAATAGTGACTTGATAGGAGCGGCACGGTAGCCGACTGCTGAGCACATCTGCCTCAGCACAGGGATCGAGGGTTCGAACACGGACCCCGGCCATCCTGTATTGAGTTTGCATGTTCATGGGATTTCTCCGGGTACTGCGGTTTCCTCCCCTAGTTCCAAAACGTGAATGTTAGATTAATTGAACTCTTGAAGTTGTCCTGAGGTGATTTGTGATTGTGTAGTTGTTCGTCGATGTGTGCCCTCCGGTTGGTGTTATCAGATTAATCGAAGAATATAGGCTCTATACATGTAATTTCTATTATTTTTATGACAGTATTTCATTTTCATTTTTTCACTGTAGTCCTCCCATCTAGCTGCCTATTTATCTATACCGACCCATCTTCACATCTGCTTGTCTATAGTGACGTGCGTAATATAGTAAATTGAGCGTGCGTAGTATTGCAGTGTCTCTTTAAGGGAAGGGGGAGTGTAAGAAGAAGCGGTACCAAAAAAAGAAGAGAGAGAGAGAGAGAGAGAGAGAGAGAGAGAGAGAGAGAGAGAGAGAGAAGAGATGAATAGAAGACACGAGAGGCACCTACCATGACCAAGTGCGCTGTAAATGTAGGACACACATCCGAGCCTCCGAGCGGCGTCACATCGGGACGCTTGGGCACCATGTCCGGACTTGCCTTTCGCCACCCGCCTGCCGCCATCCTCCAGCCGAGCATGGCAGCCGTCACCCGGGGAAAGCCTGCCTCCTCTCCGGTGCCACTAAATTACATCACATCTTTCCGCGATTATCAATGGTAGGCATTGCGTAATTGCCACCCCCTCCCCCTTCTCCTTATTATTTTTATTTGTCACCCCCCCCC